CAAAACTGTGTACCGTGCAGAAACAGAACATGCAGGTATTAGAACCATCCTCAGAAAGCTAGGGTATACCTGATAAAAGAACTAAATACATGGAAAGACATAAAAATACAAGACAGTTTAAAAGTAACAAGTGGGTGTTCTTGGCTATAATATGAAGTGTGTGGGAGGAAGAAAATTCTTAACATAAGGACAAAATCAACATGAGAAAGAGATTGAATTGATTCTGGGACTCATCACAAGATGAGTAGAATCTAAGTAATAAAGAAATGTATGTCAATTGATTAGAAAAAATGAAAGAAGAGCCTGAGTATTCTGGATAGAAGAAACACACTGAGAGAACAGATGAAAAGATGATGAATGGCCCTGTGAAATCAAAACCAATCCAACCAATGAACATGGACATATTTAGGTCCTTACTTTTCAGAAACTGAGGATATTTATCACTCTGTATGATGTTCATTTGGATGCACTGGCTTCTGGAAGAGCTCTGCTCTTAACATTTGAACAATTTATTGCCTAATTATTTAGTTTGCCCTTTTGAAGAGGCTGTCTGCAGGATACTTTCTAAGAGTGAGCACAAAAAGTAGGCCCTTGGAAAGTCATCTCCCCCATTGCATTAAAAGCAAAATAACCTTTTATTGAATGCTTTGTGACCATTTAGAATATTGAATTTGTATTTTAATCATTGAGTTCAACAGGAATATCGCCAGTGGGAAAGACTTAATTACAAATCATGTCTTTCTCATAGTTATGCCTGCAATCCCAAGAGGTGTTTTAATGAAGTTCTGAGCTCTCAAACAGGAAAGGTCAAATGGCTTTCCTCCCCTGGTACCTCGGAGTGCACATAGCTGCACCTTTATCTCAGCAGATGTTCAACCAGGTATAATATCTGCCTGAGGCAAAAATTCCAGGAAACAAGAGTTCACAAGGAAGCAATTCCCTGGAATTCAGTGAATAATACAGCAACCTGTTTAGGAGTTTGAAGAGGGGATGAATTTAGATAATCTCCACTTGAATATAAATGTGTATTTAATTAGGATTGTACTATGCTAGGACGAATATCATTCTGCTTGAGAATTTACTATTAAAGATTTGCTATTAAAGATTGATAGTATTTTGGGTTGATTTTTCTTAAATGTTGGAAAATGTTCCTGCTATGTTTATACTAGGCACATATTCAAGTTTGAACGAGATGAAAAGCAGTTGAAATTGCCTTTTGTGATAGGTTAAAAAAAAGCTAACTATTCTACTTTATCTGGTTCAATCTAATTACTTAAATTGTCATACACTAAGCAAATGTATCAAAAAAGTTCATTTTATGACACCATTTTGACCTAAGTTTTATTCTTAAAAACAATTTCTGTAGCTAGGTGTGGTGGTGCACACTTGCAATCCCAATATTTAGAAATCTGAGCTAGGAAGATCTTGAGTTTGAGGCCAGCCTAAGCTACACACATGGGGAGACCCTGTCTCAAAAACAAAAGAAAACAATAACAACAAAACCCTTTTGTATTATATCTAACAAGATCTTTTCAAATGTGGTATTCATATATATATATATGTATATATACATATATATATATGTGTGTGTGTGTGTGTGTGTGTGTGTATGTATGTTTAGCTCTAAATTTGTGTCTGCTTTTCTAGAACTGGCACTGGTTTTCAATATTAATTTTTAGGACTTTGCATCTCTACTGTTGGCTAGGTAATTTCAGGTAGACTTTGACATGAATTCTAAGCACATAAATCATTTTAAGTTAATATAAAAGAAAATCTTTGGCTGTTTATGAAACTTAAAAGAGGTAGCTTCCCTGCCTTCTCCAAATTAAAAAAACTAAGCAAATAAAACAAAACAAAGCTCAACATGTAATTGAAAGTGTGAGTTTCCACACAAATTACCAAGGTTAATAATTAGAAGGAAATTTCCAATACCGAAATTTTTTGAAGTAGTTTACCTTGAAAAGATATTTGTATCTTCTAATTTTTCATAGTTTATACCTTCTAAAAATATTGTATTAATATTTTTATAGACCTAATAATTATAGGGGGTTTCATTGTGATTTTCCATACATGCATATAATGTACTTGGATCATAATCACCTCCTCTATTACTTTCTAAGTCATGAAAATAGATCTGTATTTATTTATTTCCTTACTTGCTTTTATTTTTAACCGTGGTTTATTATAATGCCTTTGTCTTAATGCAAAATTCTAACGACCAATCAAAAGTAATGTACATGTATATAAAATTATTTGGCTGCACATTAACTGAACACAAAATCTTTTTTAAAGACACATCTAATTCCAATGTTAATTTTATATAATTAGAAAATCATTTGGGCCCCCAGATGAATAGAAATGCATATGTCAATCAAACTAAGACAAAATAACACTTAAACACACACACTCTAGGCAGGATAAATATTTGTGATTAAAAAGACTGAAAATTTGTTAGGAAAAACTAGTAACTAGGCAACTGGGAACAGGAGATTGGAAATAGAATGAGGAAAGTGTTGACAGGAAGACTCTTCAGCAGAGGTAAGAAGCTGTCCTTATTTCTGGTAGCCTATCTCAATTGTTGGGGTTATACTTAAAATTGAAAAGGAAAAAAACAAAAAACTAGTGTAACTCACTATGGTGTAACTAATTTGCTAAACAGATTGTCTCCTCTGGTTTATAATTTCTGAAGAGAGTGTATTAAATTGTCTTAATGCCCTGCAGGAATAGGTGTATACAGTTGGCCACAAAATGTGGACCCAGAACCATCCATAAGCCAGCTGATCTGATTTGCTGCCCAGACAACCGCTGGCAATTAGTTTTTTAAGCTGAGGAACAAGATCAGTATTTAAACTGTCCTTATACAATTCCATAGCACAACATCACCAACATCACCACATATATGGTGCTTTAAGATAAAAATTGTAGTGTATTTGTTTTTAAGTCTAATTTTGTTATGTTCTTTAAAATACAAACCACCCTGAACATTTTCAAGAAATAGAACAAAACCCCTTGCATAGTTGAAAAGCAGAGGTCTATCTTATTTTGGTTGGCAGTTAATGTGCGGATCTATGTAACAGCTGTCTCACTAGTCACCAAATTAACGACATAAAATTGCAAATCCTTTAGTCTATTCCCTGTGTGGAGAAACAGAATAAAATGAAGAGAAGTGCTGTGCCCAGGTTTTGGAATAAATACCTAGAAAGGTGTTTGAACTGCCTGTTGGAAGATTAATTTTAAATTATTTCACTTCAAATATAACTGTCATCATTTAATGAGCGTTGAGGGTTGTTTGGTTGGGTTTTGACCAACCCGTCTCCTCCAAAAAAAAAGAAGTCTTTCCAAGAGGCACGATCTTATTTACCAAAAACCCAATGGCGAGGGGAAGCCTGGAGCCAAGAAACGGTTAGAAACATCAGAGAAAGGCGGGAAGAGGGCTTCCTCCTCCCAGCCCTTTTTCCATCCCTCTCCTGAGTCCAGGAGGCAGCAGTGACCGCTGCAGATTTGTTTGGCTTTATCTCTAAGACAATAGCGCCGCTCTCTGCCACCTGCAGGACTCAAATCGCGAGCGCGTGCCACCAGTAAGTGCCCAGGAGTCACCACCTGTCCCGTGGGTGCCCCTGCCCCACCGATGTCCCAGGTCACCCCTCTCCCTCTGTCTCACTAGCTCATCTGTCAAGGAATCGTTAGTTCCCTGTCCCTTTACCCAGCGGGCGTCCCACCCCAGTGCCAGCGGTGGTCACAGGGAGTCGAATTCCCGCCTGCGCTCTCTGTTCCGCCCCGGGCCGGCGGGCTGGAGCCTGGAGCAGCGCAGTAAGCAACGTCCCTCCACGCCCCCGCGAATCCCGCCACCTTCCCAGCAGTGGGGACCCTCGAGATTGTGTGCTAGTCTTGGGTCCCCAAGTCAGACTCGCTCCCTCCTCCTGTCTGCTTCAACAACCCTTTGCTTCCTGCGGTGTTTGCTTTTTTTCCTCCTTTTCCTAAGCGCCATCAAAGGTGGCTCTGTTATTGAAATATGAAGCCATTTCCTCTCCAAAACCCTTGGTTACTCAAGGCGGGAATCAATGGACCTATATACTCTCCTCTCGAGTTATAAATAAATGTCTGTTTGTTCAGAAGGTGTTTTCCCGCGTGTCCCAGCATCTTCCTCAGTGATTATTTTAGTGTGTGCATGTGTGTGTCCGTGTGCGAAAGAGAGCGCCTTGTGCCCATCTGGTTTCAATCCTCAATGTGGATCCACAGCCCAACCCCACCCAGCCAGTCTTCCCCTTGCATTCCTCGCTCTATAAATAAATCCAGGTTCTTTAGGCACTGTCATTCAGGGTTACAATAGCAGTTGTTTGTTAATGGAGATTTAATCCAATATAGATACTGAGTACAGTAAACAAGAAAACATGCTCCTGTCGATTTGGCTTAAAGATTAGGAAACATCCAAGTTTAGAATTTTTAGGTGGTGTTGTCCTAATTGTCTGTTAAGGAAGGAAGTCTCTCTTTTTATTTTTATTTTTATTTTTTTTAAAGCGGAGACCTTTAAAAAAAAAAGCGAAAATTGTGCTAAAATGTGTGCCTCACAGGTCAATGCCCCATCCCCCCTGGACAGAAGCAGTAGACAGGGAGCCAGAGATGTGGGGTTTTGCTGCTTTTCCTGCACCCCAGGGCGGGATTGTCGGTGATCTGAGCAGAGGGGAAAGTCATCTAAGAGGCTGCTCTTTTACAAGGTCTGGGCACAGAGCTGCCCCTCCCTCCCTAAAGTTTGCATGAAGTGCACGTTAGGCTGTAATTAGGGAATATGGGAGGAGAACTTTCCTGGTGACGCTTTGCTTTTCTTTTGCTTTTGGTGAGAAAGTACCTCCTTCTTCCCAGGATCAGGACCTCTGCCATCCAGCACCACAAGGAGACATTCTGCGCGCGCAGTTACACACACACACACACACACACACACACACACACACACACGCACACACACACGCGCACACGCACACTAGCCCAGAGACAAACTTAAGGTGAGGAGAAAGAGCCCTAGCTTCACTTGATCTCCAGCTTCCAACTTAAGTGGAACTTGAGAGGATCTGAACTTCTGGATTTCAGGACAAGGTAAAACTTCCATAATATTTTTTTCCTCTTTCAGCCATACATACCTTAGTGCCTTTAAGATTTCAGAAAACAATACACATATTATGTATGTACATATTTTCAAAAATTATTCTTTTCTTCAGGTTTCATTGAACATAACATCTCAACTTTTAAAGGTTCATATTGTCAGATAAAATATCATTACAGTAAACAGGCTCAGTCTAGAAGTGAGGAAAGAATTAACTCTTAGTTTTTCTAGCTTTTGCTAGTTCTATAAATCTGGTAGGCTCAGTGTTCCAATTGGTGACCTACCTTTCCATCTGTATTTCAACAAGCATTTTTATAGCACCTGAGATGAGAAAGGGATAGTATAAGCTGAAGGAAGAGTTGTGGAATAGCAATGTTCATGCTAGATTTATGAGTTTTGTCCTAGGGAATATGTAGTTATGTGAAAAAGAAAGTTACTTTAGGCATAGGTAACCCTACTTAGATTTACAGTCTTTGAAATGTTACCAGTCTTTAGTCTACGCTTCTCCAGCTAATTTAAAATTAAGACCAGAGAGTTATAATGTATTTCATACATAGAATGATGTTGATGAATAATTTTAATGTGTTAAAAATTTTAAGCCATAGTTGTTAAGATTACTTTTAAAAGTTACTTAAAGGAGTTATTTATGTATTGAAACTATTCACCACTGAAAGCAAACCAGAAATTTTGGGATTAGATTAAGTTGTTTTCCTCCATTGACCATGACTGCTATGTGCAAAATATGATGGTCTGTTATTTTGAAAATAAGTTGTTTTATTTTCATTTATCACTGGAAAAATACACAAAGTGGCCAGTACATTTGGGAATTTTTAGGGTGGAAAGTGTTCCTGTACATGTTCCAGTGTGATGTCATAAAATCAAACATACTTGGCTGGCTTCTTGAAGCTAACGGTTTTTAAGAAATAAAGTCTGTGAATTAATTCCTAAGTGAATGTAATATTTATTCGTTGCAAGTGTAGTTTCTGGTAACCATTTCTATTTGATTATTTCAGGGTCTTAAATTTGCAGTAACTTTATACACATTTCAGTGACTTCAGTATTTTAATGATATCATAAAGTGGGAATATATCATCCCAGTTCTCTCTGGATAACTTCTAATGTTATATTTCTTAATCCTTACATCAGTTCTTAATTTCAGCCCCATTAATTTGTTTGAATGAAATAATTTTTCTTTTTAGTCAATAAAATAGAATGTACCTCAAAGGACTATTGAGCATTTAAACTTTTTCCTTTTCTCACATTATATATCTATTCTTAAATTTTTAATTGTTTCTGCTAAGTGAATGAATTTATATATATATATATATATATCCATATATATTATTTTTGGTGACCTCACCAGTAAATTGGAAATATCTTACAAATAGGAAAAACTATAAAAGATGTAATTTTCCTAGGGCTAATTAAATGAGCAAGAGAAAACCAACAACTTCAAGAGACCACTGGTCCACAGTAGGAATTCACCCAGAGGCCAGTATCCCAAATAGGAGTGCCCAGGGGGCCCGGGCCTTCTATGAGAAACAAGAAAAGGAGAACATCATGTTCTTATAAAGTGAGCCATTTATTTTCAATGAGGTCCTGTCTCTCAGAGGAATGACTGACACTATAATTTAAAAGTACTGAAGAAACTTTCATAGAGAAGAATCAATTCATTATATCCTCAGTGGTTTCACTTCATTTTCCTTCCTCTGGGAGCAAGTAACACATCCAGGATAAATACATTTAGAATATGCAGCAAGTTACTTTATGAGTGGATGGTCTACTAAACAGTCCTGCCTTTTAGTATCTTGGGTGTGAAATAGTACTATTTTCTAAGCAGTTGAAGAAGTCTTTTGTGAATCATAAGATAGCACAGCACTTCATCTTTGTAAAGATGAACAAGAGAAAGTTACAATTCAGAAAGTTACTCACTTCAGAAAATACTACTTTTCACTTCCTTTTGCCCCATACATATTTTATCTTTCAGATTGCATTTTAAAGATTAATAATATCCCACCAATTAAAATTTCTACAAAATTCAAGATAAATTTGAAAACAACTTTTATACAATAGTCTCTGTCACTTCTAATCAATTTTCCCATATTTATTATTTATAGCATTATTACTTAGTCTATATCATTTGTATGTGCTTAACCTGTCGTTTAAAGCTTACAGAATGATGTTGGAGTAAGGAGAGAGAAATGGAGACCTGAATGTACTTGGGATTTTAATCAATAGTGTTTAAGGAGGATTAGAGGAAACAGCTGGTTAAACAAATATTAGGCGTAGAGAGGATGGGGTGGTATAAATTAATAATGCATCTCTTTATTTACACTATGAATGGGAGGGTCTGTGATGGTTAAATGTGTAAAGTATGGTCCCTGTTCGCCACCTAGTGGATGAGTCAAGGAAGACTTTAAAAATTCTGAGACTTATTTGGTTGACATTTTTGAATATTAACTAAAAGTGAGACTTGGGGTAGGTGCTAAAAGCAGCAAATAAAGTAAGTGACTATTATCTAATTTAAAAAGTCAAGCCCTCACTGACAGTTTATTAAATTACCATTGATTGCATTTGAAATCAATTTACTCTTTATTGGTTAATTTACCATCAACTTTCTGACTCCTTCAGAAAGTTATTCTTTATTCTTCTAATAAAGAATTTGGTTTTTATAGAGGTGTTGTGATGTAGCACAAGGAAAGGTGGGGAGAGGCTGACTATCTTGAAGTGCTCTTTCACAAATGCAAATATATTTCTGAAAAGTTTTTGCTACTGAGTGAATTTAATTGGGTATATGAATAACTACTAGCTTAAAAGGTTAGCACACAGATACTAGTGCATAATATTGAACATTTTAAATATTTTCATTAAATTGAAAAGGCCTCTTTTAGGTATTTAGGGGTATCTTATAAATATTGCTCTTAAACACTAATAATGAGCATGCAGAAACAACTTCTTCTATACATTTTGTTCATATGCAGTTTTAACACAGGGACCTAACTTTCATGAAATTAACATCAGAGAAAAATCCTAGACAAGAACAATTATATGCAAAACCACTGCTTGAAAGAAGCATTAAGATATCATAGAAGGTTAATTAATCTCTGTGTTGCACTGTTTTGAAACACTTTTCTGTAGGAGATACATGAATTACTACTTCAGTTGGTTTCTTGCAAGATATATTACTCAATGGCAGCAGTGTTCAGCAGATCAGCATTAATCGAGACAAGTTATGAAATTTAGATTAAAAGATAAAATGCCTCAGTAGGGGAAAATGATGAATTTGTTATTTGCTGAGCACTTGAGGTGTAATATACAAATTGAATTAGGCCTGCTGTCATAGAATAAAAAGAGGAGCTTTGTTTTTCTTTGTTTGTTTGGTTTGTTTTGGCACCAAGACCTACACAGTGAAAGAATGACAACTGCTCATTGAGTCCTTTTCCATGAATGCCACAGAATTATAACGTGTTATCAGAGGTGATGACTGGAGTCAACACCATTACTCATGTAAAATAGAACATGTATCTTAATCCTTACTTCCAATAGGCCATTATCCACCAGAAAAAAAAAAAAAACTCTGTTCAAATCTCATCATCCTTGTGATTTAGAATGAAAGAACTACTGAGAGATTGCCTGCCCTGAAAGTAGAAGTCTAGTCTTGGATTGGAAAGTTGGGTTATAAGAAATTTTAATAATTTCAGATGGCATAATGATACTACATGTGAACAAACTATACAGGAGAACCAGCCAAGTTCTCTGAAATGGTCTGATGTAGCTGGGGTCTTGGTTATTTTACTGCATGGCTTTACTCCCTTACAGCGACATGGAAAGAGACTGGGAGAATTAAGATTCTTGGCTATGTTTCTCAAAGAAAGCCAGAATTTGTGTTAATACCAAATATTGCTGGACTATTTTGTGCTTCTATTCATTGTTTTGTAGTTTAATGGGATGATTCCTGAGATGATAAAACAAAAACCTACAGCATAAAAATAACTTAGAACAAGGGTTGATTCTATCTTGTCAGGATAACAGAAAGTTCTCTCTATAAAACCTAAAAATCAAATGCAAATATGAAATTATTGTTACATCCAATTAAATTAAATAATTTAATTTTCACAAAGTTTTATGGACAATATCTTGGTTCATTCTTCATCCATACTATTAATTTCTCTTATATTGACTATTATTTTGAATTTGGGGGAATCGCTTTATTTGAGCATTCATTTGTTCATTCAACTGAAATTTATCAAGCACTGGCTGTTTGCCAGGCATTCTGCTAGTATTATAAATTGGGTCTTGCTCCTCATTTTATATCATGAAAATCCATTCTAAAATAATTAGAAAGACAAAATTGATGATAATGAACTAAAATAGTTCAAAACCCCGAAGTCTACTTACACTTTGGGTAACTGAAACAATCAAAAAGTTCTAGCCTCATAGTTGTAGCATTAAGATAATTTTGACCATACATCTTTAAAAATCATTTCCCTTTATTTACCATCTCCTAGCTAAGGGGATACTAGCTTTGTTTCTTGATTTTGTGGGCACAGATAGGCCTAGGAAGTCAGCTCTGATACTGCAGAACTTCTGAATAGTTAGGGTTCCAATAACATGTCTGCTTAGATGAACCGGAAAAGCAAAAATGCATTTGTACATAGTCATTATCCACTGGTTTGCAACTAAAATTCAGATTGAGCAAGAATGATTTAGTGGTTACCATTTGCACCCTGCAGGCTCCATGCTAGGCATTACATAGTAATTAGCTCAAGGGGTTCACAAGCTAGTAGAGGAGACAGATGGGCACACATCATGAATCACTAGTAAAATTTGCCAAGTAGGTGAAATTTGCCTCCTTCTTCTCCTGGGTCTCTTTCCTTTGCACTTATCCAAACTTTCCAGTCCCCTTTAACTCATAAACTGAGACTTCTGCTCTCCACCCTGCACCCCCAGAGGATCAGATACTTCTCTGGTTTATTGGTTTCTTGATTACACC